TGTAGTAAAAAATGTGGAGTTTAATCTGAGGAAGGGGTGCTTGACAGCTGTCAACTATTAAACGGGGTGCACACAGCAAAAAGTTTGGGAACCACTGCCCTACATGTAAACTGTGGCTTGGAGAAATTGCCTCTATGTTAGATTTGGAGCAAATTACATACTATTTAAAAAGAAAACTTAAACAATTTGACAAAGTTTGGAATCCTTTTACCTTGAAAAATAAAACTCTCATAATAATGCATCATTTGTGTAATGTTTTAACATGCTTTGTCATCATACTGTTGTTCAAACAGGTCTTTGTAACAAGTTTGCTTGTTATGTGGGTGTTTTTTTTATTTAATTTTCATGTTGTTTTTCCTTTAAATGTTTCTTATTTGCTTTGCCTGTTATATGTAGACAAAACATGTAAACTGAATTCTTTTCTTCTTGAATCTGTGTCTTCAAGTCAAAAACTTACATACAGCATCTTTAAAGTGACTTAGGATTGTAATAATATGACTTATTTTACAAACACTGCTAACACAATTTCAGAAAATTGAATTTCTCAGATTAATCCGGCCCGACATTTCAGCTGAGAAGATCCCAAAATAGATTTTTTGAAGTTTCGTGATCATTTCAGGAGCATTTAAGACTTCATTCAGCCCCTTTCATGATTCTCTGAGACGGTGTTATCACTCAAAGAGACCTGCGGTGATTTCATTCAGTCCTCTGGATCAGATCTCACAGGATGAACAGGAGCGGAAATGAATTTTTGCTTATCTGCTCCTCTGTTCTTCTTCTTCAGACACAAACAGTAAAATGCCTTTGTTTGTTTGAGCTTCACTCTGTGATTGTAAATGAGTGATCGCATCACGTCACACTCTGAGCCTTTTGATTGGCTGATTCCTGCTGTGCCTCCTCACAGGTTTGACATTCATTTGTGTTCAGATTGACGTTTTTCCTGCTTCAAACGTGCCCTGTGTTATGCTGCTTAATCAAACATACTAACGTAATTAATCATTTTCACTTTTATACAAATATGTTTGGGTTCTGATGTGTGTGCGTGTCCTACAGCAGCTATTGCTAATTTGACTTCCTCTCATAAGTTTTGGAAAGTTGCAATATAAAATGTTTATATAAAAGGGCAACTGCATGAACTAAGTGAACTAATTCTCAGTTTCTCTGAAATTATGATTCATTGTTTTGGGTGCAAGTAAAATTCATTCAATTATTTTCCAACAGCTTAATCCCTTTATTAATTTGGGATCGCCACAGCGGAATGAACCACCAACTATTCCAGCATGTTTTACACAGCGGATGCCTTTCCAGCCAAGAAAGTGAATTAATACTAACAAAAAAAAACATATGCCAGAGTAATTAGCAGTTCATTTCCTGCAAAAAACAAAAACAAAAACAGCGGAATGAACCACCAACTTATCCAGCAAGTTTTTACTCAGCGGATGCCCTTCCAGCCGCAACCCATCTCTGGCAAACATCCACACACACAAACTCACACACTACGGACAATTTAGTCTACCCGGAATGAACCATAGTCTACCATAAAACCGTGATACATACCAAACCGTAAGTAGATTGAACTGTTGCACCCCTAATAAAAACCCTCAAGCTGACATCAACAGAAGGACTAACATTCCAAACGCAGAAGCAAATAGTCAGACTTTCATTGAAGATTACCAAAACAAACAAAGATATTAATTGGATTAACTTGTACAGATTAATCATTCACCTTAAGAATAACAACTTGAGCATGTTAAATAAACATAAAAAAATTTTGATTCAAAGCAAGCTTAAAGGCTCGATCACATTTTAAAATAACAAAGCACCTTATCTTTAACCTTACTGATAGTGTTTTTAAAAAGCAAACGTTAGATACAAAGGTATTTGCTGAAGCAACCATTTTTAAGCTTACTTTTACAATATGATCAGTTTATCTTGACTGGGGTTTCAAGTGACTTGTACGACCAAAAACGCCATATGTGATCATGTGAGGCAAATGTCAAAATTTATTAGTAAGATCATAACAAAGTGTTGTCTTTGTTAACCCTTTAATTACACTGAAGTGAACTGAACTGTAAAAACTGGACTGAAGCTGTTTCAATTCACTATAACTGCATCTATGTTAAGCTGCTTTGACACTACATTGTAAAAAGTCCATAGAATTAAAGATTAATTGAATTGAATAAATGTTTCTAGGGATGGATCTGTAAATGAAGATATAATAAATATATTGAAGAATGCCAAATTTTATGTCTGTCTTAAAAAACTATTGGGAGAGAGTAGTGAATAATATCCTGGATTCTCTAAAGATCTAATGTATTCATATTAGTCATGATTCAGGGTTAAAGAAATAAAGGTTAAATAGAGTTTAATTAAAAATGAAAATTCTGTTATAATTTATTTATGCTTCACTTGTTCAAAAACTGAGTTTCCTTCTTTCGGTGAACACAAAAGAAGATACTTTGAAGAAACCATCGACTCCTATGTTTGTTTTTCCTACAATAGATGTCAATGATTAACAGTTTTCAGCTTTCTTCAAAACATCTTCTTTTGTATTCAACAGAATAAAGAGACTCAAAAAGCTTTAGAACCACTTCAGAAAAAATTAACGAAGAGCACATTTTAGTTTTTTGGGTGAACTAGTCCTTTAATAGTATTTGACTGATATTGGTTTTAGTTTCAGCTATTACTACAGAAAGCTTTTTTTTTTTGCAAAAAAAAAGACAGACAGACAGACAGACAGACCAAAGTATAATTTTTAAATTAGCTTTCAGCATTTGAAGATGTTTCGACATGGACTGCTGGAATTTAGATATGACATAGATATGTAATTTAAAAAGTACACAACAAAAATTCAATATTAGATCGTATTATGAATATTCGTTTTTATGATCTCAAAGTGACTTTTTATTAGTTTGTTTTAAATCAACTCTTTGACTCTACTAAAAAAAAAAAAAAAACATTGTATAATTAATAGTGGTGGGCCATTATCAGCATTAACGTGCTGCATTAACGCGAGTCTCTTATTCTCAAAGTTGGGTTGGGAGCTGGGTCTATTCTATGCAAGCTATGATGACTTGATATTTTAGTGTGGATGTATACCTAAACGGTGAACCGTCTGAAAAAATTGCCCTTCTAAATCAAACCAGCAAGATGCCTGACTTTAAATGCAGTTCAGCAGTTTCACTTTAACTCATAAACATTTCATTCATGCCGCCGTGACAACCTGGGGTATTAGAAGCAAATAAGGAGTAAGAACTGGTGAGAGTGTTATGGAATTTATTAACGCACACCAAATGGAAAGAAAAAAACTTCAGTGTTATGCAATGTGTGTGTGTGTGTGTGTATTTGTGTGTGTGCGGTCCTTTACTGACAGCCGTGTGTTTATCTTGTCAGAAAATATGCCGAAAAGTCCTACAGGACGGTGTTTACTGATGGCGGTGTTTACTTCAGTAATGCCACTAATATATGCATATATGTATACTCCAATTGTAATTAACTCACCACAGCACTTACAGAGGTAAAATTGGTTTTATATTCTCACATTTGAACATTATCCTTAATACTAGCATCATTTCAGAAAAGTATTATTAGCAAATTAATAGTCAAATCATATTAGCAGCCAATGACCATTAAAGTACAGCATCGTTCAGTCAATTGAATAGTGCTAATGTTGTTTTGAAGTCATACTTAAATGCTATTTCACACCCAATAATCAAATCAGCTTGATAAACAATATATGGAGCGTTAAATGAGCAAATAATAAAGCAACTTTATCTCAATACAGCACTTTTTCTAAGGACTCCTCCATCTATATGACGTGATGCTCTTGTGACAGATCTCAGATCAGCGCTTCTGTGTGCAATACACGTACATCACCTTACCTCCCCGACCCAGCATCATAAATGTGCAAAAACAAACTTTAAAAAAAATAACAATGACCTCACCACACATGTGTGCGTGTGGCCGGTGTTCTGCAGTGTGCTACATGATCAATGTGTGTGTGTGTGTGTGTGTGTGTGTGTGTGTGTGTCAGAAGCAGATTTTACCTGCACACGGTGATCAGATTCCTCCTCTCTACAGCTCTGATGCGCGCCGCCGCTTTTTTACGAGCCCCGCTGAACCCGAGATTTAACGATGCCATGGTCGTGTCTGTCCGATGCACGGCTGTTTATTTCTTTACGTCCTTTTCTCTTCTGATGCTGCTGTGGATCAGTCTCCAGCTCGCGGACTCTCGCTGACTCTCACCGGGGCCATAGAAATGGAATAGGAGGGTGGAAAGGCAATTAGTATGAACGGGGAGTCCAGGATGGGCGTGGCGTTGCCGTATTTCTAGAAATAAAAATCTTACTTTAGCTCTTAATTTAAGTTTGTTTTACTTTAGATTTAATTTTAAAAGGCCATGGTAAATTTCCATTACTACATTTTATACAGAATACATTATAAAAGCCAACGGGATTATCACGCGATCCATGTTACTTTTCTCAGCGCTGGTTGGGATCTACCAATCACAGAATGATTTGTATAATCGATTTTTTTTGTTTACATGCTGATAAGGTGATGAGCCCAATCCCTGCTCATAACGTAACATGTCTCCTTATACACACATATTTACACGTGTTTCTAAAATTGAAGCAGAAGAAGTCTATTAAGTAGAGAAATTAACTTTTTTAAAACACCCTGCACGCCCTGGAGGATAATTTTGTGCCTCAAGAAATAATTTAAACCTCATAACAGTCATAGAACATGTCATCATTGAGCGCTTATAGACGTTTATAAGCCCCGTTTTTAATAACCAGTAAAGGCGTTTTTAGTTATAAAATTGTTGTGAGACATACCAACAAAGGATTTGTATAATTTATTAGTAAAAATCAGTGATTTTCTCTGATTTCAGTTGATGTAGTTTACTTTAATCTCACTAGGTGGCCCCAAAGTTCTAGAAAGCAGCCTATAACATGAAATAAACAATATTTTACAGCTTTCTAAACATTTACAGCTCTCATTTATATCTATCAAAAACATATACCCAGCTACTGAATATAGATAGGGAAAAAATGAAGAGATTGGAAATCGTCAGTGATCTGAGGTACTTCCCAACAAACACACAACGTTGCCTCAACGTAGCGACCTTCCTACAACGTTGTACCAACCTTGCAAAAAGGTTGAGGATTCTACGTTGTTGCTAAACGTTGTCACAACGATGTCATAAGGTTGCCATTTAAACATCACGAGGGCCGCATACTTTAGGTTGTGCTTAGGTGGCGTGGACAACCACTGTACAACATTTACTGGTCACAGCTGAATCAGTTTAAATTTCAACAAGCCGTCGTCTCATTCATCAACGACCGAGGAGACGTGAGTATTGTTTTATTTCTTCTTGCTAAATAAGATACGTAAATCGTGAATATTCAAACAAACCTACGATTTCGACAACAATCTGTTCCAACATTACACACACACAAAACCCGTAATGAAGTTATTACGAGCGAGTAACATTTTAGCATTCCGTTCACGGACGGCGACAACATTAAAATCATTATGTTAAATCTCTCGATAAAACATTTCCTGATTATTTACCTACGCTTAGTCTTTAGTCAAATGGAAAATAATGTTTTTGAAGTTCAGTTTTTTCCATATCCATAGTGATCAGTCAGTATGATACTTTATCACACGAGCCGACCCACTTTTTACAAAACACACAAAATAACTTTTAAAAACAAAACATCTCTGTGCAGTTTGCGTCCCGTTAAAGGAACAGTTCACTCAAAAATGATATGTACTCACAAATTATTTGCCCTGTAAATAATAGCCTAAGTGATTCCAAACCTTTAAGTTTCTTTATTCTATTGAACACTAAAGACTGTAAGCATTTGCTTTCATAGTAAGAAAACACTAATTAAATAGTTACAGTTTTCCAGCTTTATTTAATACATCTTTTTTATTGTTTAGCAGAAAAAAAGCTAAATAAGTTTGGATCAAATAAAGGATGAGGCTAAATGGCAGAATTGTCAGTTTTGGGTGAGCTATCCCTATAAGTTAAAGTATATAAGTTGATGTTCATATGCCTGATTAATATAGATATTAATAAAAAGGTCTGCTAGTCTAAATTTCTATTTTGATTTATCTTTTGATGTTTTATTTAAAACCCACTCGTTTCTTTGCTCAACAGGCTATTTTCACATGGAGGTAATCTTCTATTGATAATTTCTGGATTTTAAGTATGTGTAAGTTGCATAAAACTCTATTGTTTAACCACTCACTGTTGTTTTCAAATTACTTATGTAACTTGTCTTTCAGAATTTTTTCAGCTGTTGAATTCACCTCAGATCAGTGTTGCTGTAATTCCTGATCTATGGAAAGAATAATTGAATGAGGTAAGAAGTATACTACTCTATTTACTATCATAATAAATGTAGTATTGTTACCTAAAACAGCATGTTCATAATGTGGAAAATAGATCATGCTTATGAAAAATTACTTTATTATTTTGTACAGCTGTTATTGAAATGACACTAATTTTAACATTCCATTTACAGCGAGCAACGCCACAACTACAGGGCCTGTTCTTTCTCTTCTCATAATTTAAGTAAGTATTGGGAGACTAACTCTGACTTCTGTTAACTCAAACCTGTTTTCCCTGTATCTCTAAATTTATTGAATTGTATGTAATTTTGGTATATGATATATTATTAAAGCATTAAAATAAAGTAGGCTACATAATTACTCACTGGAGATTTTATATAATGAAATTACAATAAATGTCTGAAACTTCAATAACTTGCTAGTCATAGTCGTTTCCATCTGTCCTCTCTTGTTCACTGCCTATTTTGACTTGTGTCTGCTGTGGATCTCTGAAGCTGGATTATCTGTTGGATTTGTTTCTTCCTCTGACTGCTTTCTCCATACCAACAACTACGACTGGTCTTCACCCAACAAACACACAACGTTGCCTCAACGTAGCGACCTTCCTACAACGTTGTACCAACATTGCAAAAAGGTTGAGGATTCTACGTTGTTTCTAAAGGTTGTCACAACGATGTCATAAGGTTGCCATTTAAACATCATGAGGGTCGCATGCTTTAGGTTGTGCTTAGGTGGCGTGGACGACCACTGTACAACATTTACTGGTCACAGCTGAATCAGTTTAAATTTCAACAAGCCGTCGTCTCATTCATCAACGACCGAGGAGACGTGAGTATTGCTTTATTTCTTCATGCTAAATAAGATACATAAATCGTGGATATTCAAACAAACCTATGATTTCGACAACAATCTGTTCCAACATTACACACACACAAAAGCCGTAATGAAGTTATTACGAGCGAGTAACATTTCGGCATTCCGTTAACGGACGGCAACAACATTAAAATCATTATGTTAAATCTCTCGATAAAACATTTCCTGATTATTTACCTACGCCTTGTCTTTAGTCAAATGGACAATAATGTTTTTGAAGTTCAGTTTTTTCCATATCCATCGTGATCAGTTAGTATGATACTTCATCACACAAGCCGACCCACTTTTTACAAAACACAAAATAACTTTTAAAAACAAAACATCTCTGTGCAGATTGCGTCCCGTTAAAGGAACAGTTCACTCAAAAATGATATGTACTCACGAATTATTTGCCCTGTAAATAATAAGTGATTCCAAACCTTTAAGTTTCTTTATTCTGTTGAACATTAAAGACTGTAAGCATTTGCTTTCATGGTAGGAAAACACTATGGAATTAAATAGTTACAGTTTTCCAGCTTTATTTAATACATCTTCTTTATTGTTTAGCAGAAAAAAAGCTAAATAAGTTTGGAACAAATAAAGAATGAGGCTAAAATGGCAGAATTGTCAGTTTTGGGTGAGCTATCCCTATAAGTTAAAGTATATAAATTGAGGTTCATATGCCTAATTAATATAGATAGTAATTAAAAGGTCTGCTAGTCTAAATTTCTATTTTGATTGGTCTTTTGATGTTTTATTTAAAACCCACTCTTCTCTTTGCTCAACAGGCTATTTTTACATGGAGGTAATCTTCTATTGATAATTTCTGGATTTTAATTATGCGTAAGTTGCATGAAACTATTGTTTAATCACTCACTGTTGTTTTCAAATTACTTATGTAACTTGTCTTTCAGAATGTTTTCAGCTGTTGAATTCACCTCAGATCAGTGTTGCTGTAATTCCTGATGGAAAGAAGAATTGAATGAGGTAAGAAGTATACTATTCTATTTACTATTAAATGTAGTTATGTTACCTAAAACAGCATGTCCATAATGTGGAAAATAGATCATGCTTATGAAAAATTACTTTATTATTTTGTACAGCTGTTATTGAAATGACACTAAGTTTAACATTTCATTAACAGCGAGCAACGCCACAACTACAGGACCTCTTCTTTCTCTTCTCATAATTTACAGTAAGTAAGTATTCGGAGACCTACTCTGACTTCTGTTAACTCAAACCTGTTTTCCCTGTATCTCTAAATTTATTTAATTGTTTGTAATTTTGGTATATGATATATTATTAAAACATTAAAATAAAGTAGGCTACATAATTACTCTGGAGATTTTATATGTAATGAAATTACAATAAATGTCTGAAACTTCAATAACTTGCTAGTCATAGTCATTTCCTGTGTAGTGCTGTTGTGTCAAGCTCTGATCTGTCCTCTCTTGTTCACTGCCTATTTTGACTTTTGTCTGCTGTGGATCTCTGAAGCTGGATTATCCGTTGAATTTGTTTCTTCCTCTGACTGCTTTCTCCATACCAACAACTACGACTGGTCTTCAGCTGCGCTCCCCGGTCTGCTGTATTCTCCAGTCCAGAGCTTCACTGACCAGTGTTTGAATTTTAATTTATATATTTATTTATATATTTATTTACATTTTAATGATTTCTTGTTTACTTTTCTTGTTTGTTTACCCTTTAGTTTAAATATATATATATATATATATATATATATATATATATATATATATATATATATATATATATATATATATATATAATCTAAACTTTATTTTATACTGTTTGCTTATAATTAGATACTGTATGTGTACTGTATGTATTAAATGTTGTGAAATATATAATAAAAAGTTTGATTATATTCATTTGTGTGGCATTTTTACACTTTAAAGTTTACACATGCAGTTTTTAAATTAAATAGGAAAAATAAATGAACAATATTTCATATTAAGCAATACTGGAAAAGAATTGCTGCTTATCCTGTATTCTAGGCAGTAATGATAAACTGCCACAAAAAAATATTAATACAAGTAGTAAGAACGCCGCCTCGCGGTTGCTGAATGTCGCACGACAACGTTGCTACAGCCTTCTCACGTCTTACATTTCTACGTTGTGACAATGTAGCGAGCACGTAAGCGGCAACGTTGCCTTTGAAAAAATACAACGTTGTGCAGACATCGCTACAACGTAAATGTGTTTGTTGGGTTGATTGATGGTAGCTCTGGGTTTCATAACATTTGTGATATTATGTACAGGTCTCATCACATTTTATCTTCTGAATTTTATCATCTAAAAATTATTGCAGTATGAATGATTTATGTATTAGTAAACACACAGATATGAAACAGATGGCACTGTATAAAATCAACAGTTTATAAACTGCATAGCCCAATAGTTTTGGTCCCCTGATTGATCGATAGCCGTGGCCCATGTTTTATTTGTAACTGCTAGCCTTTCAAACAGTCAATATTCTGTCACATTCATAGACCTTACGCATTTAAGTTATTTAAAGTGTATTATATTAATGTAGGCTATATTTGGCATAATTCACATTTAATTTTAAACCACACCAAAGAAACTCTTCTTGTGTGGGAGAAACGTTTGTTGACATGAACACGTTTAAAGTAATCTAAAGTTGGGAAAGCTAACATTTTCGGTGTGGAAAATAATCATTTGAAAATGTAAGGGAAAAAATCAGGTGTTAAAAATAAGTAGTACTGTCTCTAGAAGCATCTCAACTTTCACTATTTTTTGCATTAACATTTGTACTGTTTAGAGATTTTAATAATTCATTAGTAAATGTTGATTACTAAATGCTGTACATGTATTGCTCATTATTAGTTTATGTTAGTAAATAATTAACATAAAATAATGAAGGTTTATTGTCAGGGTGCATATTACAGGGGGGGGTTAGGGGAATTGACCCCCCCACCAACCCAGGCTCATTCTGAAAACGTACCGATATATACATTTTTGGAGAGTGCCAAATACATCCCAGAAGGTACGTTTTTAACAGTTTTTGTTTTCGCAAATCCATCAAAGGCTGCTGTGTGTGCTTTTTCAGATCTCAAATTTCTCTGAGTGCCATTTACACCTGCTGTTCTCGCTTAAATCCACCAGAGGCCGCTGTTGACTGACTGACTGACTGACTGACTGACTGACTGACTGACTGACTGACTGATTGACTGACCCACCCTCCTCCTTCCCTAAGCCCAATCACAGTGTTTTGAAAAACAATCCTTGAAAAAGAAAAGCCCTGACCTGATTTTTACCAAGTTTTCAGATTTTACCACATTCTCACCCTGTTATTAACTTGTTTATTTTATTTTTTGGATTCTTGTTTTTGTCCACTTTCTGGAACTGTTCTTCGCCGTACTCGAACCTCGTCGTCACAGTCAACTCCTCTCTCTTTAAAGATGAAATGCAGCCATACGTACTTCTGGCTACATAATTTGCAATCTCTAGAAATGTAAATAGGGCTATTTGTTTAGAACCAATCAACACTTGATCTCCTCTAAAGGATGTCAAATCAAGATGTTTGGGGTGTGGGTGGGAGGGGGGGGGGGTCAGCCTTTTAATAGTGAGAAATAGTCTTCTCTGATCTGTAACTTAAATAATATAATTAATAGTTTCTATAATAAAATGCATGCAATGCATTTCACCACCCCTGCAACGGTTCATACCATTGTGAATGCATAAACGCACCAATCAGTTTCAGCAGTTGGTTTCAACAGTCTAAAACCTTTCAGCACGTGACCCCCAAAATAACAATGCCAGTGACTTGCGACCCCCAATATTTACTAAGGTGGTTATAGACATATAATCCTTGCACACAAAACAGCGTACACATACCAATAGGCTTAAGTCTATTCATCGTTTAATTTTGGTGAATGCCACTTGGAGACCATCCTCTATGTTCAGTTGTGACCTGTATTCATTTTTAATGTACGTAAGTGCTGTAAAAGTTTTAGAAAGTTTAACCTGGTGTCATAAAATCAATGTGCTGCATCTGACACTATTGCTGTATTTAATAAAATGTAATCATACTGAAGGCTTTTTATTTGCATGTTGTTTTTTATGTTTATTATTAACAACATGTTGACAATGTAACTATTATTTTGTTCTTCAGTAGGTTATGGATAAAATATGGTAATTCTAATAGTTTCATAAACTGAATTTGATTTTTGGAAATTGGCAAGCAACCCTCTTCATTCAACCCACACTTTGGGAACCACTGATAGAGCAGGGGTTCTCAAACTTTTCAGCTCACGACCCCTAAAATAACAATTCCAGTGACTCACAAGTCGCGACCCCCACTATGCTTAGAGGTGGTCATAAGTATACAAAAATTGCACACACTGGTGCACACACACCAATAGAAACTATATAAACATAAGCATATTGACAACACAAAAAAGTGCAACAGTCTTACAACCATATATTATTTTATAGTTATTATTAATTCGTTTAATTTAATATTAACCTCACTTAATGAGAATGGTGAGCACAATGTTTATAGCACAAGACTATTCTTGCTTTAATTTTGGAAACTTGAAGATCGTTCTCTGTGCTCAGTTGTGGCCTTTATTTTTAATGTATGTGAGTGCCATAAAGTTGAACATTATACCGTAAAATGAATCTGCTGCAACTAACGCTACTGCTGTGACAATAATCTAGCAAAATCACCTCAGGGGTCGCAATCCAACAGAAAAAAACTGAAAAGGTTATGGATAAAATATGTTAATTTTAATAGTTGAATAAAGTATATGATATTTTTGGAAATCACCAAGCGACCACCAGGGGGTCCTGACCCCCACTTTGAGAACCATTGCAAGTGTTCACAAGACACTTCTCTTCTAAAATAGATGAGTGTATCTTCATATAGCCTAAAAATAAAGCAAAATTGGACAGTTTGTACTTGTGCACATAACTACTCTGAGATTGCTGTAGGTCAGAATACACTAAATATCCTTCAAAACACAGAAAATTTTATGTTTTATTATTAAATTTAGTTATAATTAAAAAATGTAAAAATACACGTTTTTGAATCACTGAAGCATGTATTACACATAACATTACTGAAAACATTGACCCCACTTAATCATCAATGTATAATTTGCACCCTCCTTAATGTAAAGTGTGATTAACGTGGCATTATGGGACTATTTAGGCAGTGAATGTTTAGTGCACAAGAAGAAGTTTGCAATTGATCAGTGCTTGTGTGACCAACATCCTTATCAGTGCACTGACCACTGAACAAGCCCAGCAAGCATTTTTTGTTTCTGAAAGATGTCAATAGACGTTGTTTTGGCTAAAACAAAGCTAAATTGGGTCTGTTAGTAAAAATCTAATAGACTTCTAAGAATAGGCCAAAACTAGACTACTTATCAAATAAACAGAGATGAATGACTGCACATATAAAGTCTGTCTAATATGTCTATTTGACGACTAGTCTAGTTTTGGGCTATTCTTAGATGCTTATTAGATTTTCACTGACAGCCCAAGTTTAGCCTTGTTTTAGGTAAGAGATCTACATTTAGATGTCTATTAGATGTCTGTTAAACACAAAATTGTTTGCTGGAAGGGAGCAGCTTGAGCTGCATACTGTATAGGCAATTTTAATCATCACACAAAATCTTGAATTTTATTTAATCGAATACAGCTACTAGACTAAACTATGCAAAAATTGTGTTGTTATCAGTGCTTGTAGTGTTTTGAGCAACTCAAAAGGTGGCAATACAGTATTTCTCACTTCAGCCCCCAGGAGCCCCGTAGTGCTCACTTTAGAAGTCTCACTAATCTCGCACACAATTGAGGTCATGGAGCCTCTAATAATGAGAGGATGAGTGGAATCGAGAAGAGGAGGAAGAGATTTCAGTGCCTTAGGGCTTCCAGAAGCAGGATTTTAAAAAGACTGTGGTGGAGAGAAATAGGAAATTAGCTCAGCGCACATCAATGATGTCACTGTCACTGACTCATAATGCTGTTTTCAGCGATTTGTCTCCATCATGTCAAAAATAAAACCATCAAGTTTTTGTGTGTGTGCAAAGATACAAACCATAAGTCAAACAATTCTTTTTTTTTTTTTTTTTTGCAGTGCACTAAAAACAAACCCAATGAAAACAAGTCACTTCTGACTAATAACAGCACTACAAGCAAAACTACAGCACTGACAGTACATTAAGAAAGTTATTTGAGAATATCTGTATCAAATTAATCTTATGAGTCTATTGAACTAGTATTATGTTAAACTGATGTAAAACAGCTTGCATAACTTACAGAATTCAGTTGAAACAAGTTACAATGAACTAAAACATACTGTCATGACTAATTGTTCATATACATTTTTACAGTACAGAAAGTGATAAATGACCCACCGTATATGGTCAAATAAGGTCTCTCCTGGGGCCTCATGGGATGATAGTGAAGTGTCCATTTTCAAGAATTTCCATTTTACCTGTTTTCCAGTAATCACCTAGCACAAATGTGAATATAAACAGAAGTGAGATGTTAAGTTCTGAGGGAACAGATCACTTCTGTGTGTGAGAAAGCTTCGTCTGTGTTAGTGTAATGTATTGGTTTGTTTTGCTTTTTTGGATATAGGTTTGTCAAAAACAATTACTTTGTTTTCATTTTAAATTTACCATTGCTGTGTAATTATAGTGTTTAAGATTGGAATTCATCTAATAAAAAGATAACACATTGTACATGCCTAGTTGTCCAAAGTTTGAAAAATCACAAGTAGGAATTAATGTTTAAGACAATTGCTTAAATGCTTTGAATTTCTTAATATGTAAAATAGAATAAAGAAATCGAAACATTTTAATTGTCTAATCTATGAATTAAAAAATGTAAAGAATGAATTGCTTGGGTGTTACAATCTTATTTGTATTTATTTATTTACATTTTTTGTTGCTGTTTACATTATAGTTCAAAGGCTAAAACATTATTTGGTCACTTGTATGTAATATCTAATCAAGTAATATAAAATCTGCAAAAAGAGTCACTGTCACTAAACTGTTGTGCATGTCTCCTTTTCTGCCTTTAGTTCAAGTAAGCATGTTTCCGTTTTTGTATTGTTTTTTTTAATTCACTTGTTTGCCTAAAATAGCTACAGTACCTGGCATCTTCTTGCTGTAACCAAGCTCTGTGCTCTAAATGTGTATCCACATCCCTTCTCATAAAACCACATGCTTTTCACTTGTCTTTTTCTAGCACTGCTTCAAAACCTACCTATCTGAACAGCATCATAGCTGTGCTTTTCAAAACAAAAGGTAGGCTACATGAACATATTGCATTAAAAAACTCATTAATAATATAATAATGCAAAATTCATTGAATGCTAATAAAGCTAACAAAATATTCAAATTATTAACATATAGAGGAAATAAGTATTGAACACTTCACCATTCATTAAATGCATTCATTTTCTCAGAAAACATGGTTTTCTGAGAAAATTAAAAGGTGCCGCTGAGTTGAAATTTTCACTGAATGTTGGTAACAACCAAAAAAATCCATATATAGAAAAAAACAAAACTAATTAGTTTAAAAATTAAGTTCTGTGTAATAAACTTTAACAACAAAGGGGAAAGGTATTAAACACATGAAGAAAGGGAGCTGTAGAAAGGCAGCGAAAGCCCAGACAGCAGCTGAAATCTCTCAGTATTTATTTAGCAACCCTCATTCACACACCTGGTCCAGATTCCACTTGATTGCAAACACACACAGCTGAAGCAGTCCAGGACAAATCAGTTGTACTATAGACACAGCACACACACACACATCATTGCTGAGTCTTGTTTCTGTTTCAGAGCATCACATAAGCATTTTCCTTGCCTTGTCTAGCCGTGTTTTGACCATTGCCTTGTCTTACCATTTATATTGATTTTTTGCTACCTGTACTAACCTTTTGCCTGTTTTGACTACAATCTAGGATGATCTTTATGTTCCTGTTTGCTACCTGTTTGACCGTTGCCTGCCTGACTACTGTCCTTTATAAACTGCATGTGGATCCTCACCTCTGTTGTCCCAGACTCTTACGTGACGCCCTGACTGACTTATCTGAGATGTAAGAGCCGAACCACAGCAGTGTGGATCTTGAGATTAGTGGCGGGCAAAGACAGGCTTCATGAAATACTGAAACAGTTAAAGCAAATGTGTCGAAGCTTTGAAGCATATCGAAACCCCACTCTACAGTGACACCTAGTGGTCATTTTTTATGTTTTGCTCTGGAACAGCTTCAGCAAAAACACAGGTAAGCAAATTGAGGTATTAAACACACATTATAGAGTTGAGGTTTCAAGTGACTTAGTGAAGTGGTGAGAGTTCCAGACAAGCATGCAAATATAATGGGTTCGAATCCAGGGTGATGCAGCTATAGACGTTAGTATTTAAATGCTTTGTTCTTGTAATGTGTTTTGTTTTATCATTGGTCTGACATTCGAATACACTTTGTGAATAAATATGTCTTGTTTCGGTCATAAAACAGTAACATTATTAAAATAGATCAAGTCATTAATTCAGAGTATTTGTCAGGAATAAAACCTTTGCTGCACAATAACTGTGCACACACATAGTCCACTAGGCTACATAAGACAATATTTTCTGACACTGTCAGTCAAATGGAGATTTGCCAGGTCTCAAAACACATCTGAAGTGACCAATGCTTTGAATCGCTCTAGTCATGTGACCTGGTGTTTTAAAACACTTTAGTCACGTGACTAAGATGATTCGAAACATTCAGGTCATGTGACTAAAGTGTTTGGGCTCAGTTTCACATCAGCCATCCCTACTTGAGATGCACAATGTCTTTAGGGTTGCCAAGAGAATTAGGTTTTGGGATGAAATGAAAGTAGGCAGTGGCAAATATGGGCGATTGCCCAGGGTGCCATCTTTCTGGGGGCGGTACCAACCCACCCACACCAATTCATGTTTTTCGTGTTTATTTTATGCTTTTGAAATGCATTATGGGGCCTTGATCTTTCGTCCATCAACCTTCAACCTTGAAAACGTAAAAATAAGTGACTTTTATTAAAATTTTTAATAGTTTAAAGTGATATTTGTTTGGGTTGGTGTTGTATATTACCGTACAAAAACTTTTTAATAAACTGCCTGTTCATTTTTCTGATATTTTACAGACTCACTTCACTCTATATATTATTTCTTATACATTATATTATTTCAAACTACTAAAATGTCAATAAAAGTCACTGTAATAATCTGTAGAGTTGAAATTTCAACATCAAAAGTCGACAGAGCAGAGATCCACATCCTATGATGCAATTTACGACCATAAACAAAACACTGGTGAATCACAAAATACAGAAACTGTTTACAGCGTACAGGAGAAGATGTATGCCAGTATTTGATTTCCTTCAAAGCAAGCTGATTGGATTGTTGTTGTTTACTATTGTTGTGATCTCATATGATTGACAGGTTGTCCCGCCCCCACGCAAACTAAAATATCCCATTAAAAGAACCTTTCTGCTCATGTTATCTTTAGGAATAAGACATTTATTAATCAAATCACACATTTTCCACATCCAACTGAGACATAAACGGAAACGCACTAATATTGAAAGATATCTTGATAATAATATAATTCAATTGCTTGTGACTCATTCCGTGCTGCTGTCTGGTGAAAGGCCATTAGCATAAAGTGTTCAGTGAAGGAAGAGCATGGAGCCTAAACTCTAAGTGGTTTGAGGTTTTAAATCTTCCTTCCTGTTGTGTTCAAAGAGGGCTGTTCAGAGGAAGTGAAATCCAGTCACACTCTGTTTCACGAACTGATCATAAGGTTATTTTTTTCCTCAAACATCTGTCAGCATGGCAGCATTGTTTGGGATCTGGATGTTTAAAGTCATCTTCTTGGGATTAATAGATCCATCTCAAGCTTCAGTGCGTCCTCGCGTCTCATTCGCCCGTGGTAAGTGAAGCTCTGATAGCTTTATGGTAATAAGATATATTTGGGGATATATAGTAATTGCCAGATGTGCAAGTTGAGGATATGCTGGTAGACATGCTTGAGCTCCAGAAACCAGAACAGGATTTTTATTCGTCATTTGTGACTGCATTTCTGACAAAATCAGGGTTTTCAAACTTTCATAAACCCGGATTATCATCATCTTAAACAACTATTTTAACCCCATAAAAAGCTATTTTGACACTGTACAATCCCAAACTTGTGTTAATGTTCTTATTTGCATATATGCATGGTCATTGTCACAGACTGGACTACTAATGCAGCATTGGATGTTAACGTTTTTCATTCTTCATTTATATACTGCTATAAAATGTTATGTTGAATGGCCTTTTCAGCTGTGAAAGAGTATTTTTAATGTGTTTTCTTTTGCTTCATGCTTTGCACATTTATTGTATTAAAAGTGTAGTAAAGCCAAACAAAAAAATAATAAATTGAACATCATTTGTTTAACCAGTTTTACCTCCACCTACTTACAGTGGAAAAATATCTGTTAATTAACACTTTCCATATTTTGTGCTTCACAAGTTTTTTTTTTCTGTTTATTTTCATATATATAATGGTAATTGCATTATAGGATGTTGATCTCTGCTCTGTCAAATTTTGATGCTGAAAATTCAACTCTACAGTTTAACAAAGTGACTTTTTTGACATTTTAGTAGTTTGAAATCATATAATGTACAAGAAATAACATTAAGAGATAAACAAGTCTGTAAAATATCAGGAAATGTACAATTTGCAATTTACAGTGCAACACCAACACTGACAATATAACAGTTTAAACCACGGGTCACCAATCAAGGTCCTGGAAGGCCGGTGTCCCCGCAAGGTTTAGCTCCAACTTGCCTCAACACACCTACCTGGGTGTTTTAAGTATACCAAGTAAGACCTTAATTAGCTTGTTCAGGTGTTTTTGATTAGGGTAGGAGCTAAAATCTGCAGGACACCGGCCCTCCAGGAGCAAGTTTGGTGACCCCTGCTTTAAACTATTAAAAGCGTTAATAAAAGTCACCTTTTTGAGCTTCCAAAGGTTAAAGTTGTTGGAAGAAAGATCAAGATGCCATGACGCAATTCAAAAGCATATTAAAACATGAATCACAAAATATGGAAAGTTTTAGTTTTAAATAGTAATACTTTGGGTTTCATTTGTCAGTGTTAAATTTCATAAAGGCAAGTAAAACTTGTGGTAACCCTGTTTCTAAACCTGGTATTGACACCAAAAATAAAGACACTAACCCAGGGTTTATAAAGGGGCATTTTATTAATTCTCCGCATTGATTCTTAACACATGGTTAATTTTTAATGTAATTATTAGCATTAATTATTAACGTTTTGCATTAATTATTAATGTAAAAATGGAAGTAGGGTAATGTTGTTTATACAGGTTTTGGAATGGCCCTGGTTAACTATTTCAACTATCAAAAAATAAAATTTCCTTAATGAATAAATGACAAATTGTTAACATGACTTCTAAACAACATAATAAAATATTAATAATATACAAAAATAATAATAAAATAGGCTTTATTTGTGAACTACAAACCGTTTTTGAATATGATTGCATTATTATGAGATTAATCTTACAATTTTTTAGCGTAGAATAACTTCACCAATTGAGTCATGTTTGGCAAACACTATTTCTGTGCATGTTTTGCAACCATGATTCTCTTAACTTGTGAGTTGTGGTTTTGTTTGTTATTATTACCCATTACTGTTGTTCTGCAAATGGTCTAAACGTTGCAGGGTTCTGATGGTGGAAACCACCGCTAGCCGATCATACCAACCACACGGTTTCTGAGCTCAGTTCATCACTGAAGACATGCATGGTGAAAAGCTCAATTTAGATAAGTGGATTTCTCATGAAAAAAGAAATTGTACACTCTCTGCTGCGTTTTACTTATAACTAATATATGTGGCTGCACTTGAAAGAGGAACTGCTTTGAAATGTTTTTGTCATGCTTCTTCTAATAAACACTGAAGTTTGGGCTTTTATTTGATGCATTTATTCAGCAAAGATGCATCAAACTGATCAAAATTGGCAGTAAAATTATTAGAATCATTTTTGCTCTTTTGAACTCTCTATTAATCAAAACATTCTGGTGTACACATAAATATTAAGCAGCATAATTGTTTTCAAAATTAATATTATTAAATGAGCAACAAATTTTATCAGCATATTAGAAGGATCTATGAAAGATTAATTGACACTGTAGCTTAGTGTATAGGTGTTGAAAATTCAGCTTTGTATCATAGGAATAAATTACGACATTCAGTTGGTAGGGTCAGAATTTAGTGTCAACATAAAAGCATGGATCCATCCTGCCTTCTAACAACAGTTCAGGCTCGTGGTGGTGTAATGGTCTTGGGGGATATTTTCTTGGTACTCTTTGGGCCCATTAGTACCAATTTGCCATCGTGCAAATGTCACAGCCTGAGTATTGTTGCTGACGCTGTCCATCCCTTTATGACCAAAGTGTTACCATTTTCTGATGGCTACTTCCAGCAGAATAACACTGCATGCCATAAAGCGCGAATTATCTCAGACTGGTTCTTGAACATGACAAAAAATTCACTGTACTCAAATAACCTCCACAGTCACCTGATCTCAATCCAATAGAGCACCTCTGGGATGTGGTGGAATGGGAGATTCGCATCATGGATGTGCAGCTGACAAATCTGCCACAACTGTGTGATAATTTCATGTCAATATGTACTAAAATCTCTGAGTAATATTTCCAGTACCTTGTTGAATCTACGCCACAAAGGATTAAGGCAGTTCTGAAGGCAAAAGGGGGTCCACTAGTAAGGTGTATCTAATAAAGTGGCCGGTGTGTGTGTGTGTGCATATATATATATATATATATATATATATATATATATATATATATATATATATATATATATATACACTGACCGGCCACTTTACTATGTTATAATTTACATCAAGGGTTCTTAAACTCGGTCCTGATGGTCTGATGTGCTGCAGTTTTTAGCTCCAACTTGCCTCAAAACACTAGCAAGGATATTTCTAGAACCCTAGTTAGAGTTTGATAAGCTGGCCCAGGTGTTTCTGATTGGGAATTGAGTTCAAATTTGCAGGACACTGGCCCTCCAGGACAAAGATTAAGAACATTGATTTATAGTATAATCTAGTGTTAACATCCTCTTATAAGACACTCTGGGTGACATTTCTGTTTGTGCAGGATTACTAAACCTCAGCACATGGGTTGTGCCTGTTTCCGCAGATCAAAAAGAGGAAAGGAGTGTCAGTGTTGAGGGTTCATTGCAAAACTGTGAAATGTAAACACAATTTAAAAGTCAACAGCAAGTTATGAATATTAAAAATGATAAAAAAGTGTGAATATGTAAAAGTGCCAGTCTGATTTCTTCATATTTTCAGATTTAAGTTTTGCATGTATAAATTGACGATTGGTCACAATAATAAATGTATTTGTTTGTTGTGATATAGTAAATCATAAAATGTAGATTTAAGATATAGAATTGAAAGCACTGGTGTTGTATGAAAATATTGTCTATATTAATGTGTCAGTAAACAGTGTAACTTAATAAACATACAGTACCTGAAAATGAAAATGCTTAAAAAAAAACCATCTACACATACAGTATAACTGTGGGCTTCCTTAAGCAATCACACACAGCATTGGTTTTCCTGCATGAGAAGACTTTATTTAGCCACATTTCGATTAGACTAGTGAGAATCATTTAAGAAATTTATGCAGACAATATTTTTTTACAACACATTTACTTGTGTGTTTTGCCCAGCGTGAACTACAGTAGATGCTCTTAGGCTGCATTCATACTAGTGTAAAAACACTCCTTGTCTATACTGCCATCTTTACCACGTTTCTGAATGATAATCATGCCTTTCATGTTCACTGGGCAGGCATATAGTATGTCAAAATCCGTACTTGAAGTGTACTGCAAGTATATAATGGCAATATGAGAGGAGCCATGCATATCAGAGAATGATACACGACCAATCAGAGAGTAATTGTGAATAGCCATACATGCATTTTAAAAGGTTTTATACTAAAATATAACACAAACGTGGATGCCAGGCATAACTGTATTAAAATGACTGTGCATTTCTGAGTGTGCTTCACACAGGTGAGTGGGCTTGACAAACCACTTGTAGAAACACTTTTCTCTGTATATGCAGATACTTAAACTGCGTTCTACAAGGATAACGACAATGAAAACAATGTTTACCAGTGAATGAACCACAAATCATGTTGCACTACTTGTTTTCATGTTTGCACAATATCTTGCACAACATTGTTCTGTCTTGATGTAGATGTAAAAGTAATTGCATAGTCTCTCTTGGGTTATGTGTATAATTCAGGTACATGTAAAGATAGCAGTTAGAATAGTTAGATTATCATGTTAGGTTTAAATGAATTTGGCAGGGCCGGAGTGGGACTCCTTTTCAGCCCTGGAGATTCAAGCATTAGACCGGCCCACCTCAGTTCACGACTGACTATATTAAAATAACGTCATATCCAAATCCGTTTCTAATGGACTATCACGTCTTTTTCAAGAAAACAGCTGCTTTAGAACTTCAAATGTTCAACAACCCTAACAGTATTAAATGTCTTAACAATAAAAAAAAAATAATAATAATAATAAATTACTCAGTTAAGATTCGAAACCGGGTCAGCAGCGTCATAACGCAACATGCTGACCACTGGACCACAACACATCACCACTGAACCGTTACATCATCATTAACCTGGAGGCTTCATCTTGCTCACGAAGCTGTAAGAAAATAGATAAAAAGAGCGAAGCTGCGGCAAAATAATGAATAAAAAGAGTGAGGCTGTGGTCAAATAAATAAATAAATGAAAAAAGTGCGACTGCTGAGAGCAACAGAGTCTGGGGCTAAGGACACTGGCCAATGCGGCCAAAAAAAAATAGACCAGCCCACCGGGAATTCTTCCGGTCCTCCCGATTAGCCTATCCGGGCCTGCATCTGGTGGTTTAAAATAGCTCTTTTATCTAGTCCTGTGTTCATATTTACGATTACGTTTATTCATGTATCTCAACTAAAATAAAAAATCAATTTGACTCAACGTTGTGTCAACTTGAAACACTTATGCACTAGTGTTAGACAACAACTTCTTTTTGATGAGTGCCATTTACTATGGATGTCGATTTGTTAAGTTATTTTCTAAATAATAATTTAAAAGCCAAAATTGTGTACTGTAATATCGTAGTATGGAATAAGATTTCTTAATTTCTCCTCTTGAATGTCTTATGTAACCTTATTAAAACTAAACATGGGTTTACAAACAAATCAGTAAAAAAACTGTTCATCCAAACAGAAGCGTCTAGTCTTAGTCTGTGCAATGAAACAGCCCCTGCAACCTTTTAGTGTTGACAGCATATTGATTGTTTGTGTTGCTAAGGGTGCATAAATACGCGTGTGACATGAATCAGTCATAGCTGTGCATTATAGTGAATAAATAATCAACTTCAAAGTGAAAAATGGAAATGAGTTCAGTGCAGTCGTAGAGTCACATCACTGATCTCCAAACATAACCCGTCGGTTGTTGTTTTTGTGTTTCCACAGGAAGTTCAGAGCGTGTGTTGGGCATCTACAGCAGCTCTACACTGAAAAACACCTCCACTCTGCTGCTCAGCACAGATGAAGACACATTGTTTGTTGGCGCTCGAGACGCTTTGTTCTCTCTGGACGTCAGTCAGTCTGATAGTATTACACTCAAAGATGAGGTGATCCAGATATTTCAGTTTACAAAATGAAATCTCATTTTGGCATGATGAAGACTGTACTAGACTTGGAGAACATTTTACAACATAATATTCATAGTTAAAATGTTTTTACAGTTGAAATGGACACCATCTTCAGACCAAACAAAAACCTGTAGAGTGGCATCAAAGCTGGTATGTGGCACTGCTAATGTTATTCTACACAAAAAAATTACAATTTTTACATTTAGTCATTTAGCAGATGCTTTTATCCAAAGCGACTTACAAATGAGGACAAGGAAGCAATTTACACAACTATAAGAGCAACAATGAATAAGTGCTATAGGCAAGTTTCAGGTCTGTAAGGTCTAAGAAGGAAAGTTTTTTTTTTTGTTAGTTTTTTGGGTACAGTTAGTGGTATATGTATATAATATATATAATTATAAATATATATATATATATATATATATATATATATATATATAATTAGAAATTAGAAATTATATATAATTAGAAATCAATTATAAATAAACATTATATAAAATATACCATATGTCCAATTGTGCTCTCTCTCTCTCTCTCTCTCTCTCTCTCTCTCTCTCTCTCTCTTAATTCAATTCAATAATTGCTTTATAGGCATGACAATTGTTACAAATGCATTGCCAAAGTAGTTATAAAATTTACATAAAAAGTAACATACATATATAATAAAAAACAAAACAAAACATACAGTAAATAGTAGTAGTAGCAAAAAAAAAATATATATATATAATAATTAAATAGAATATCAACAATACATAATATTATTCAATATATCACATTAACATTCAATATATTATATTATTATTCAACATTAATTATTCATACAAATCAATACAAAAATAGATCAGAATAAACTGTACATTTTTAGGATAAAACAGTAATAAAAACAATAATAATCAGTATGTTTACAATGATTCATTTATAATCATCTAGGTGTGTGTGTGTGTTTCTCTCTCGCTCTCTCTTTCTCATGTATATATATTCTTTTTTTTTTTCTTCTGTAGGAAGTCTTATTTGTTTTATTGCAGTTAGAATAAAAGCAGTTTTAAATCTTTTAAAATCATTTTAAGGTCAATATTATTAGCCCCTAAACACTATATTTTTCATATAACAATATATTTTAGTCTACAGAACAAACCAGAACAATAAGTTGCCTAATTACCCTAACCTGCCTAATTAACGTAATTAAGCCTTTAAATCTTACTTTAAGCTGAATACAATCTCAAGTCTCAATCAACTGTATATGTAACTCATTAAATTTGCTTAATGTCTCTTATAGTTTATTTAGGATAACTTCAAAAGACTTCAAAATGTACAACACATAATGTGCATACATGATATTATTTGACCTTTGAGTTTAAGTTAAATAAAAACATAAATGTATTTAAACTTTTATTTGATAAAATCATGTTGGTCCAACTCAATTGCACTTAACTGTAATTAAAAATATTCATACGAATATATATATATATATATATATATATATATATATATATATATATATATATATATATATATATATATATATATATATATATATATTCATTCATTCATTCATTTTCTATTCGGCTTATCTAGTAAAATTTTATGTACTGTCATCATGGCAAAGATCAAATAAATCAGTTATAGAAATGAGTTATTAAAACCATTATGTTTAGAAATGTGTTGAAAAAATATTCTCTCCTTCAAGCAGAAATTTCAAACAGAATTTTTTTTTCAAAAAAAATCAACAGGGGGACTAATAATTCTGACTTCAACTGTATATATAGATGGTGCAAAACAAATTTAGTGGATGGAAATTCTGCCCTCAATTAAATTATGTTCACAATGAGTTTTTTTTGGGGGGGTGTACTAGTATCCTAAAAAACTCTAGTAAGATATTATGTACTGTTATCATAGCAAAGAAAAAAGAAATCAGTTAGAAATTAGCTATTAAAAGTAATCCGTTTAGAAATGTGTTAAAATAATCTTCTCTCTGTTAAACAAAAAATGGAGAAAAATGTACAAGGGGTTAATATTTCTAAAGTCAACTGTATCTTAACCAAAATAATACTATTTGAATAAAACAGAAAATACTCTGTTTCTTTGTATTTACAATTTATGTTTATGTGTTTAAGTAAAACCTATTTTTTGTTTTGATGACATGTTTTTTAAATCTATAAAATGAATTGCCATATAATATTATAATTTTATATACAAATATATAATTTTAAGAGTTAAGACATCAACATTTTGATGGAATGACCCTCTTATTCTGACCAATTGTCATTTATTTAGGAAAAAAGCAGAAAAAAGTTACATTACAGATCCAGACAAATGGCAATCATCAAATGATTGACCCTTAATGCCATTAAAGAGACTTTAAACAAGCTTGATATTCATTTTAAGATACCTCTTAATTTTGACATTTTATACTTCTCCACACAGGACTGTGGAAACTTCATCAGTATTCTACAGTTTTTCAACTCTACACACCTCTACGCCTGCGGGACAAATGCATATAAACCACAAGCAATCATCATTGTAAGTCAAATAAAACCACATAAATTACACAGATCAATAAATGAGGATAAATGAATTATTACTTGAGGGATGGACTGTCACTGCTCAGACTGGACATCTCTGTTTTAGCCAGCAAGTTCTCTGAATGCAAACATCGACAAAAAAGATGCCAAAAACTGCTGTCCCTTCAGCTCCACGCAGAGGAACACAGCCATCATTGTTGGTGAGAAAACACGTCAGCTCAAAGATCATATCTAATGCATTCACACACAAAGTCAGCATGAAATCATACTACTGTACAATAATGTACATACTATGATACATATCTGAGGAAAAAGACTCAATTGAGTATTGAATAGTTTTTATTTGGGTTGGGTAGATTTTATGTGAGGCCCTTTTTTAATGTGATTTTAAATTTTTACATAACATTTTCAGAGATCTGATCAAAAGGCTACCCTATCTTTCTGCTATTTGCATGTTGTCGAGACTCTGTTATTTTGTAGCGACCTTTTACAGGAGGGCTCAGATAAAAATGTACCACAGATTCATCTTTCATAATAAATTTGACTTTTTAGCTTTAGTAAGTGTGTTGTCTTGGTGTTTAGGTGTAAACAACATCTGCCAAGGTATGATGCTTAGTTTAAGCTCAAAAGATGCTCAAAGTTTAAAGCTTTTACAAAATTAGCTTTTTAAAATTTAGCTTTTTTGAATGGCGGGTAGAAACTACAATATTTCAAAAGTTCACACTTAGCTAATGGTTGATTACAGTATAAAGCATGTTTGGCGTGCTGTCCCAGGAGAGAGCCCTGAGCTCATAAGATCATTGAGTCCTGGGCTCCCTCCCGTTTCCAAGGAGTTTGAGCTCCGGTAGGTCTCGATAACTCCCCTGCTTATTTATGGCTAATGATTGCCATAATTGGGATTGCTACGGAGAGATATACTGTTGATTAAGAGCTCATCTATCGTGCTAATTTGGTTTGGTCAATTCACCTATGTCGCATGTTTTTGGACTGTGGGAGGAAACCAGGGAACCCTGGGGAAACCCACGCAAGCATGGTGGAAACATGCAAACTCTGCACAAAAATGTCAACTGGACTGTTAAAGACTATGACCAGTTGCATTCTTGCTGTGAGGTAACAGAGCTAATCATTGGGCCGCCGTGCCGGTCAATTAAGGAAAAGGAGGAGAGGTAGGAGTGGAAGGGGAGATTCTTCAATACAAAGATGACTGAGGTAAGAAACTATGCTTATTTATAGTGACTTAGGAATCATCTGGTGAATCATGAAGTGCTTACGCAGCACCAGCTGTGGTCAATCATAAGCACGTAATCTTCTCGAAATTAGTTAATAAACTTCACTAAGTTTGGTTGGCTGGTGACATCACAAACCCTAAAATGTACATAAATCCCACCCCTGGCCATTATATTTCTTTAAACATGCACAAAATAATTAGCCAATCAGGGCACACTGATCCATCTGACCAATCAGAGGCCATTGTTTATTTTTTAGGGAGGGGCTTCATACAGTATAATCAGAAAGTTAAAAGACTGTTTTTAGGTGGATGACACAAAACTAAAATAAAACAATGCAAACAATATTGAGATTTTATTTCAAACATAGAACAAACACATTTAAGCGAACCCCATAAACGCAAACAAGCCTTGAATTAAAGCTGATTTTTAAAATGATGACCTCTTTGTTTACAGATGGAGAGCTGTATACAGCAACCAATGTCGGCTTCTTCGGGGACAAAAACGTAATTTCTCGCTGTCATAGTAGAGGAACACACAACAACTTGGAGCTTGAGACTGTACCGAAATTGCTACAGGGTTTGTTTGTTTTTCTGTAAAAATATTAATGCTGCCATGATGCTAATAACACATACAAGGCAAATGTTCTTGATGTCCTTACTTTAATATAGGCTGACACAGGAGTTGTTGGTTTGATTTGAGTTTACTTTACAAAACTCCTTCATGGGTGATTACAGTAACCTTGAGCAAACATAGGCTACTATTTTTATAGATTGAATAAGTTCCTTTTTGTTTTTTGTCTTAGAGCCTGTATTCATAAGCTCAACACATGTCGCCAGTGAAGGGAAGATCCTGCTGTTTTTTACTGAGAATGGGGACTTGAGCGGAGACTATTTTGGAAACTCTTTTACTGTGTCTCGTGTGGCACAGGTCTGCACGGTAAGACTTACAGTAATAATTAACCCTTAATCAAGTAACCCTTATGGTCACATAAACATATGACTTATGACATACGAGTCTTTACTATTATTCAATTTATTATTACTATTTTCGAGTATTCAGGAAATAACAAAGTAAGCTGATTGCTGTAGTATATTTCATCTTATTCTTAATACAACGTTCATTATCCACACGGATAAAATAATGATGTGCACAGATGTTTACTTAAAGTATTTATTAGCAAACATGATATAAAATGATGTGATATTTTAGCCTTGAGAAAAAGGTTTTATTAGTTTTTATATTTTTTATGAATAATGCCACCTTTCTGTCTGTGATGGTACTGCACTTCAACTGTAACGATAATTAATTGACTCTTTATTAATTTTTTTTTCTAATGTTAGGCAGAAAAGGGACCTAATATAAGAACTATAATAACTTATATTTAACCTGTCCTCTCATTTGAGTCATAAAACACCGAAGCAGCACAAGAAGGAAGCGTTTGAGCTTGTCTGTTTTATAGGCTCCTCAAAACTAAATTTTTAATGACGTAATTCTTTATATCAGGATGACAATGGAGGAACCCTCACCTTACAAAGACGATGGACATCTTTTGCTAAGGCTCAGCTGGTCTGCCAACAAGGAGAAGATCTTCAGTTCAACAAACTTCAGGATATTGTCAAACTTTCCCCATCCGACAGTGATTCTCCAGACAAGACGCTGTTCTACGGGGTCTTCACTTCACAACGGTGACAAACATTTCTAGCAAATGCTCCATCATACTGTTCTGAAAGGTCTTGGGTTTTCTGTTTAAACATTTTCTTCCCATGTTTCTCTTATTCAGGTCGGTTTCATCTGGTCTGTCAGCGGTGTGTGCTTTCAGTCTGACGGATATTAAAGCTGCGTTTTCAGGGAATTACAAGACATTCGACTTGAGAGGAAATCACTGGTCACCTCAGCCAAATACAGACGGCAAACTCGGCAAGGTAACAGACTGAGAGAGATGTAATCTGTAACTTCACGAATCTTCCTAAATTTAGTTGAGGAAAAAAAATAATTATAAATAATTATAAATAGTTATAAACATAATTCAAGTTTAAAAAAATATTACTTTATTGTTTATTTTATTTGTATTTATTTGTACCATATTAGATATATTTTACTATATATATATATATATATATATATATATATATATATATATATATATATATATATATATATATACAGTTGAAGTCAGAATTATTAACCCTCCCTTTTATTTTTATATATTTTTTTTATATCTCCAAAATGATGTTTAACAGAGCAAGGAAATGTTCACAGTGTTTGATAATATGTTTTTTTCTGGAGAGAGTCTTATTTGTTTTATTTCGGCTAGAATAAAAGCAGTTATAAATTTCTCAAACACCATTTTAAGGACAAAATTATTAGCCCATTTAAGCACTAAATTAAATTTTTTTTTTACTGTCTACAGGACAAACCATCGTTATACAATAACTTGCCTAATTACTCTAACCTGCCTAGTTAATCTAATTAACCTAGTTAGGCTTTAAATGTCACTTAGAAGTGTCTTGAAAAATATCTAGTAAAATATTATTTACTGTCATCATGACAAAGAAACTATTATGATTTAATTTATGATTTACTTTTATGATTAAAACTTTTATGATTTGAAACTTCTCTCCTTTAAACAGAATATATATATATATATATATATATATATATATATATATATATATATATATATATATATATATATATAATGCTGTTTATTATAGCATTATTAAATTATACAATATTATAATATTATTTCATATTATTATTATTATTACTTTGTATATTTTTCATGAATATTTGTTACTCTGAATGTTTAAGGACATTTAATTTCCCCAAAAGTTATTTTTAACATTAAAGTAGACACTTAACTTTCACTTAATACATTTTCTTTCTAAACAAAATCTAAGCTTTGGCCCATAAATGGCTGGAATACAGACATTGTATTTAATATATATCTTTTTTAATGAACACAGTAAAAAGAAACAACTATTAATGACTATTAATGACACTCCTCATGAAGTCTGTGTTGTTGTTTATTAACAATATTTCATTCAACTGAGCCAGAAGGATACAGTACATGGGTTAACGTCTAAAAATGGCATAACCCTATAACCGGATTTCTCTCATGTTTTCACAGTGTGGATTATTTAATGACACTGACAGCGTGTTGAACAGAGTGAAAAAGAGCTTCCTGACCGAAAACGTTGTGCATCCAATGGATAAAACACTGCTTCTGTCCTCCGCAGAAGAGCAATATACTCGTCTAGCTGTTCACAGGGCTCAAGCTGTAGATGGACAAACTTACACCATCCTGTACCTGCTCACCGGTGAACATACAGTCTTTTCTGGTTTACAGTATTCTTATTTTATCCTATGTTTCTGTATGTCCAGACTTTTCCCTGTTGCCCATTTCTGCTCATGAATATTTTCTTTAGAGTCTGGATTTCTTCATAAAGTGGTCCTGCTTGCTGAAGGTCCTCATATCATCGAGGAGATTCAGATTTTTAAGCAGCCACAGATTGCGAAAAACATCCTCCTGTCCAAAAGCAAGGTTTTAAAGCATTCTCTTTCCCCTCTTTACCTGGTTATCATTTTGATCTATTCTGTTTCATTCTAATAAAACAATGCTTGGTCTTGAAATTGAGTCATATTTTATTAGATGTACAATAGATGCACATCATGTCCTGCTCTGTTTGAATCTCCAGAGTGTGCTGTTCATCGGCTCTTCTGAGGGAGTGTTCAGAGTGCCGCTGTCAAACTGTTCAGCTTATCCAAACTGTGCAGAGTGTGTATTGGCACGTGACCCGTTCTGTGCCTGGGACACAGAGACCAGAGCCTGCACTGCTGTGTCTGAAACAAAGTCTACCCTGTGAGTTCACACTTCTGCACCAACGTCTGATCTTATGAAATTATCTCTATTATGGTCACAAAGTGGGTATTCTCTGGATTTTACTGTATTTTACTAGTATTTTACTGAAGTTTCAGTATTTTCAATTAAGCTTTATTTGATTAATAGTTTAGTTCATTTTTAATAGTTTATTTAGCTTTCATTTTCTATTTAGCTAAGATTTCAAGGCAACAATCATAAATTGTTTAATTTGATTTTAATGTTTATTCATTTATTTCCCTTCGGCTTATTTAGCAGGGGTCGCCACAGCGAAATGAACCACCAACTATGTTTTAAGCAGCAGATGCCCTTACTTTAATTTAATTGAATTATTTAATTTAATTTAATTTAATTTAATTTATTAATTAGTCTGTCTGTCTGTTTATTTAATTAATTAATTAATTAATTTACATTTTTCATCTAAAAACTAATGATTTTAAATTTATTTAAAACTATATAATATAATAATATAATGAAATACAAATCAAAGTAAATTTGGAAATCACTACTTTATTTTTTTTACCATACTGTCCCAACTTTTTCTAATTTGGGGTTGTATATTTGTGTTTTAATTGAATTAATGAAAACGTTTTTAAAAATGTATGTGTATAAACTAGTTTTAGTGTTAGCAATAACAACACAAGAAAAAAGCCCTAGTTTTTAAGTCCTTTTATCTGAAATAACAGATACCACTGTACTATTCTTATGTTTTTGTGTCTCAAACACAGGCGGCAGGACGTGGAAAGAGGAAATGTCACAGAACAGTGTATAGAGTTCAGAAATACTGCTGCAGGTAAACCGCTTCTGTGAGAACCAAATGATTTGTAGACCTTAGATGTTTATTTTTAGCTCAACCCCAATTTGTTTTATCACACTTTTTATGTGAAGGTGCAAGAAGTATCTTAATTCCTGTAAAAATAAATCATAAAATTTGTGGGTAATAGCTGAAAAGAGGTTTTCAAGCATCTTATCTTTAGTAAAGTTATTAGTTAGACAGTTAACCTGCATTTGATATTCTTTTTATTGATACATAAAGTTAATTTTGATGCACAAAGTAAACATAAAATTTGATATACAAACTAAAACAGGATGTTTAGATTTCTTTTTGTTTTGTAATTAAATACAATAAAAAATAATATATATATATATATATATATATATATATATATATATATATATATATATATATACTTACCGGTCACTTTTTTAGGTACACCTGTCCAACTGCTAGTTAAGAAAAATTTCTAATCAGCCAATCACATGGCAGCAACTCAGTGCATTTAGGCATGTATGTAGACATGGTCAAGACGATCTGCTGCAGTTTTAACCAAGCATCAGGATGTGGATGAAAGGTGATTTAAGAGACTTTGAACATGGCATAGTTGTTGGTGCCAGATGGACTGGTCTCAGTATTTCAGAAACTGCTGATCTACTGGGATTTTCACGCACAACCATCTTTAGGGTTTACAGAGAATGGTCCAAAAAAGAGAAAATTTCCAGTGAGCGGCAGTTCTGTTGGCACAAATGCCTTGTTGATGCAGAGGTGAGAGGAGAATGGCCAGACTGGTTTGAGCTAATAGTAAGGCAACAGTAACTCAAATAAGCACTCGTTACAACCGAGGTCTGCAGAAGAGCAACTCTGAACGCACAGAACGTCGAACCTTGAAGCAGATGGGCTACAGCAGCAGAAGACCACACCAGGTGCCACACTTGTCAGCTAAGAGCAGGAAACTGAGGCTACAATTCACGCAGGCTCGACAAATGTGGACAATAGAAGATTGGAAAAAATGTTGCCTGGTCTGATGAGTCTCGATTTTTGCTGCCACATTCGGATGGTGGGTCAGATTTAGGCATCAACAGCATGAAAGCATGGATGCGTCCTGCTTTGTAACGGTTCAGGCTGGTGGTGGTGGTGAAATGGTGGGGGGGATATTTCCTTGGCACACTTTGGGCCCATTGGTACCAATTGAGCATCGTGTCAATGCCACAGCCTACCTGAGTATTGTTGCTGATCATGTCCATCCCTTTATGACTACAGTGTACCTATCTTCTGATGGCTACTTCCAGCAGGATAACATGCCATGTAAAAAAGCGCAAATCATGTCAGACTTGTTCTTGAACATGACAATGAGTTCACTGTGCTCAAATGGCCTCCACGGTCACCAGAACTCAACTCAATAGAGCACCTTTGAGATGTGTTGGAACAGAAGATTCACATCATGGATGTTCAGCAGGGCCGGAGTGGGACTCCTTTTCAGCCCTGAAGTTTCAAGCCTCAGATCGGCCCACCTCAGTTCACAACTGACTATTTTAAAATAACGTCATATCCAAATCAGTTTCTAATGGACTATCATGTCTTTTTCAAGAAAACAGCTGCTTTAGAACTTCAAATGTTCAACAATCCTAACAGTATTAAATGTCTTAACAATAAAAATGAAAAAAATAAATAAATAAATTACTCAGTTGAGATTCGAAACCAGGTCAGCAGCGCCATAACGCAACATGCTGACCACTGGACCACAACACATCACCACTGAACCGCTACATCATCATTAACCTGCAGGCTGCATCTTGCTCACGAAGCTGTAAGAAAACAGATAAAAAGAGCGGAGCTGCTGCAAAATAATGAATAAAAAGAGTGAGGCTGTGGTCAAATAAATAAATGAAAAAAGTGCGACTGCTGAGAGCAACAGAGTCTGAAGCTAGGGACACCGGCCCTCACGGCCAAAAAAAACGGCCCGGCCCACCAGGAATTCTTTCGCTCCTCCCGATTAGCCAATCCGGGCCTGATGTGCAGCCAATAAATCTGCAGCAACTGTGTGATGCTTTCATGTCAATATGGACCAAAATCTCTTGAGGAATATTACCAGTACCTTGTTGAATCTATGCCATGAAGGATTAAGGCAGTTCTGAAGACAAAAGAGGGTCCATCCCAGTAAATAGTAATGTGTACCTAATAAAGTGGCCAGTGAGTGTATATATATTTTACATTAAGCAAAGTTTAAAAGTTTCCCCTTACAGATTTTAATTTCAGTTTATATAAACTTTTACATTGACCTTTAACCGTTTACATTTAAATTAAAATATAATAATATAATTCATTCACAATAAATATAAATAAAATAACTCTGATTGTCGTCTAGCTTGTAAAGTCCAAAACACACTTGTTGATTGCCTCATTATGATGAACTCTATGTCATTTTGAATGAAAGCATCTGCAAAGTGAATAAATATTAATATCTAACTGTAAAACTTCTGAACTGTCTGTCTTTCTCCAGTGTTGTTCAAGACTGCACACTTGAATGAAATTGTGGTCCTGCCCTGTCAGTCAAAATCCAAACTGGCGAAGATGACCTGGAGATTCTCAAACAACAGCCTCGTTCCCCAGTTCCCGTACCTGCAGTGGACGGATGGCAGTCTGGTCTTCCCCGTCTCTCTAGAGACCACAAACACCTACCGCTGCGTGTCTGAGGAGCTGGGCTTTCAGCAAACCATCGCCACCTTTTCTGTAAATCTCCCTGTGGTTCCTCGATCTCGCATGTCTCCATCACACCAGCAGCCTGAGCACATTGACTTCACCACAATTGAGCTTGATGAATCTGAACCTATAAATGAAGAAAAAATAAATGACAGGAGCGAGGAAAAACAAGCCAGCACTTATCACGATGCTGGAAAAGACACTCTGTGCATCTCACAGAAGAGCTACTACTCTGAAATGGTCGCTGTCTGCATCTTTTTTGTCATTTTTTGTTTCTGCATACTGGCTTTTTTTGTGGTCCTGTGGAGGAATGGCAAGAGGTGCAACAAAATTTTACCTCAGGAGCAGCCTCAGAAAGGCACAGAGTCGGACAAAATCTGCCAGACAGAACTGTAACAAAAGCAGAGCTAAAAGAGCTGTATCAGGGTGCTGGATGAGTCATTCTTGATCCACAGTTTGGAAAATAACAACGTTTACGCTTCGAAATGAATCAGAGGGGATCGGTGTAATGGGTTTAATATGGGTCATGGGATTTAAAATCATTTTTGATATGTGTGATATTTAATGTAATCATATTATTTTATCTAAAAACAGGGTTAGTCAGCTCTGACACATGAATGAAGACTTGTTTGTACCATTTAAAGTCTTAATAGAACTTTAACATACACTCTAAAAATGCTGGGTTGTCTTAATGCAACATTGGGTCAAATATGTACAAATCCAAAAATTGTATTTAAAAAACATTATTCAACCCAACTGATAGATTTGTCGATTAAGTGCTCAGCATAAATGAATACACCCCTCACAAATCTATTTTAAATATAAAATATATCTAAATATATCTATATCTATATCTATATAAATATATCTTATCTATCTAAAATATATTTTTAAATGCATTAAAAGGAAAAATCAAAAGAAACAACAAATATTATAATGTTACATTTTTTCTTTTTTTCTTTTTTTGCAAAATTTTTCTTGAATTTAATTGTATTATCTTTCAATTTCTAAACATGTTTGGTGACTTAAATATTCAATTCAATTCCTCTTTATTTGTTTAGCACTTTTACAATGTAGATTGTGTCAAAGCAGCATCACATAGTAGATTATAGTAAACTGAAACATATAATTTTTAGTAAATATATCTGTTTAATAAATCTGTTTTGTTCAACTGCACCAAAATACATTGCCTACATATGCACTGGATAAAAAAAAATATATTATTTTGTAAATGAGGTGTACTCATTTAAAACAACTCGTCTCAATGTTCAGCTGACAAAACGTTTCTAAAAGACTTTGAGTGGACAAACATTTCATTAAAAGATTTTAAATAATAATGCAATATGGGACATTTATACAGTGAATATTGTAAACACTGTGAGACTCAAAGCCTTGATTCAATGGGCGTCTACTTTAAAGTTTATAATTAATAACTCAGGAAAATGCTAAATGACTTTTGCAATTAATGTTAATTATTTTTTTTCTTTGTTTGTTTGTTTGTATGAATAACTATCTATCTCACTTTAATTGTTCATCGAAGCCAAGGCAAGTGGCACAGTGGCTCAATGGTTAGCACTGTCACCTCACAGCAAGAAAGTCGCTGAGTCCCGGCTGGGTCAGTTGGCATTTCTGTGTGGAGTTTGCATGTTGGAGTGCTCCGGTTTCCTGTCCAGATACATGTGCTATAGGTGAATTGAATAAACTAAATTGGCTATAGTGTGTGAATGCGAGAGTGTATGTTTCCCAGTACTGGGTTGTGGCAGGAAGGGCAAAAATATATGCTGGAATAGTCAGCAGTTCATTCCACTGTGGCGACCTCTGATTAATCAGATCCTAAGCTGTAGGAAAATGAATGAATGAAGCCAAGGCTTGTCAACAAGCTAAAGTCGCTCATTTAATGTCATTACATTTGTTTAAAGACAAAATATAATAAGTCCCTAAGGCAATTAAGCATAATTTGCAATTATGAGTATTTTTTTTCTGATTGCTATTTTGATGTGAGCCAAAGTAAAGATCTAGCAAGATCTAGTAAGATTTAGCAACATGCTGGAAACTGGTAACCACTGACATATTTTTATTTCTTTTTTAGTATTATTTTTTCCTACTATTGATGTCAGTGGTTACCAGTTTCCAGCTTCAGAATATCTGCTCGTGTTTAATATATAAAAAAAACTCATAAAGGTCATAAACAACTTGAGGGGGAGTATATTTTTATTTTTAGGGTTTTTATTTTTAATTTTTCTACCTCTTTAACGAGTATTTAAGGTACTTCTGCATCGTGTCACTGGTAGACTGGCTTAAAAATCCCACTTATTTTCAACGGCCTATCAGAAATTTATTTCTTTAAAATTTCTTGACTTCTTTTTCTCCCTGATGTTGGCCAGACTTGTGGCTGTTTTAAACGCAAAACATAAATATCAGATCATTTTAGCATTTAGGAGTATTTTTTTGTGATTGCTTTTTAGATGTGAGCCAAAGTAAAGGTCACATGTTTTAGTCCCATCATAAATTGTGCCCTACAAAAAATTAACCATGGTTTTACTACAAATAAAACAAACACACAAAGGAAAATCATTATTACTGTAGTTAAACTTAAGTCTGCACAAATTTTATGGATTTGCTACAGCCATAATTTAACTCTTGTAGTTAAAGCTTGTACAAATAGAACTTATGCACCAAATACATTGTTAAAACACTTAGACTGTAATATAACTATGGTTCATTTTCATGAGTGGTTACAAAAAAAGAACAATAAAAAAATCTGTCATCATTCACTTACTCTTGTCACAATGAGTTTCTTCTGCTGAACACAAAAGAAGATATTTAGCAACATGCAGGAAACTGGTAAACATTGACTTATTTATTTATTTTTTTTTTGTATTATTTTTCCTACTATTGATTTCAGTAGTTTCCAGTTTCCAGCTTTAGGATATCTGCTCGTGTTTAATATATAAAAAACTCATAAAGGTCATAAACAACTTGAGGGGGAGTATATTTTTCATTTTTAGGGTTTTTATTTTTAATTTTTCTACCTCTTTAACAAGTATTTAAGGTACTTCTGCATCGTGTCACTGGTAGACTGGCTTAAAAATCCCACTTATTTTCAACGGCCTATCAGAAATTTATTTCTTTAAAATTTCTTGACTTCTTTTTCTCCCTGATGTTGGCCAGACTTGTGGCTGTTTTAAACGCAAAACATAAATATCAGATCATTTTAGCATTTAGGAGTATTTTTTTGTGATTGCTTTTTAGATGTGAGCCAAAGTAAAGGTCACATGTTTTAGTCCCATCATAAATTGTGCCCTACAAAAAATTAACCATGGTTTTACTACAAATAAAACAAACACACAAAGGAAAATCATTATTACTGTAGTTAAACTTAAGTCTGCACAAATTTTATGGATTTGCTACAGCCATAATTTAACTCTTGTAGTTAAAGCTTGTACAAATAGAACTTATGCACCAAATACATTGTTAAAACACTTAGACTGTAATATAACTATGGTTCATTTTCATGAGTGGTTACAAAAAAAGAACAATAAAAAAATCTGTCATCATTCACTTACTCTTGTCACAATGAGTTTCTTCTGCTGAACACAAAAGAAGATATTTAGCAACATGCAGGAAACTGGTAAACATTGACTTATTTATTTTTTTTTTTGTATTATTTTTCCTACTATTGATTTCAGTAGTTTCCAGTTTCCAGCTTTAGGATATCTGCTCGTGTTTAATATATAAAAAACTCATAAAGGTCATAAACAACTTGAGGGGGAGTATATTTTTCATTTTTAGGGTTTTTATTTTTAATTTTTCTACCTCTTTAACGAGTATTTAAGGTACTTCTGCATCGTGTCACTGGTAGACTGGCTTAAAAATCCCACTTATTTTCAACGGCCTATCAGAAATTTATTTCTTTAAAATTTCTTGACTTCTTTTTCTCCCTGATGTTGGCCAGACTTGTGGCTGTTTTAAACGCAAAACATAAATATCAGATCATTTTAGCATTTAGGAGTATTTTTTTGTGATTGCTTTTTAGATGTGAGCCAAAGTAAAGGTCACATGTTTTAGTCCCATCATAAATTGTGCCCTACAAAAAATTAACCATGGTTTTACTACAAATAAAACAAACACACAAAGGAAAATCATTATTACTGTAGTTAAACTTAAGTCTGCACAAATTTTATGGATTTGCTACAGCCATAATTTAACTCTTGTAGTTAAAGCTTGTACAAATAGAACTTATGCACCAAATACATTGTTAAAACACTTAGACTGTAATATAACTATGGTTCATTTTCATGAGTGGTTACAAAAAAAGAACAATAAAAAAATCTGTCATCATTCACTTACTCTTGTCACAATGAGTTTCTTCTGCTGAACACAAAAGAAGATATTTAGCAACATGCAGGAAACTGGTAAACATTGACTTATTTATTTATTTTTTTTTTGTATTATTTTTCCTACTATTGATTTCAGTAGTTTCCAGTTTCCAGCTTTAGGATATCTGCTCGTGTTTAATATATAAAAAACTCATAAAGGTCATAAACAACTTGAGGGGGAGTATATTTTTCATTTTTAGGGTTTTTATTTTTAATTTTTCTACCTCTTTAACAAGTATTTAAGGTACTTCTGCATCGTGTCACTGGTAGACTGGCTTAAAAATCCCACTTATTTTCAACGGCCTATCAGAAATTTATTTCTTTAAAATTTCTTGACTTCTTTTTCTCCCTGATGTTGGCCAGACTTGTGGCTGTTTTAAACGCAAAACATAAATATCAGATCATTTTAGCATTTAGGAGTATTTTTTTGTGATTGCTTTTTAGATGTGAGCCAAAGTAAAGGTCACATGTTTTAGTCCCATCATAAATTGTGCCCTACAAAAAATTAACCATGGTTTTACTACAAATAAAACAAACACACAAAGGAAAATCATTATTACTGTAGTTAAACTTAAGTCTGCACAAATTTTATGGATTTGCTACAGCCATAATTTAACTCTTGTAGTTAAAGCTTGTACAAATAGAACTTATGCACCAAATACATTGTTAAAACACTTAGACTGTAATATAACTATGGTTCATTTTCATGAGTGGTTACAAAAAAAGAACAATAAAAAAATCTGTCATCATTCACTTACTCTTGTCACAATGAGTTTCTTCTGCTGAACACAAAAGAAGATATTTAGCAACATGCAGGAAACTGGTAAACATTGACTTATTTATTTTTTTTTTTGTATTATTTTTCCTACTATTGATTTCAGTAGTTTCCAGTTTCCAGCTTTAGGATATCTGCTCGTGTTTAATATATAAAAAACTCATAAAGGTCATAAACAACTTGAGGGGGAGTATATTTTTCATTTTTAGGGTTTTTATTTTTAATTTTTCTACCTCTTTAACAAGTATTTAAGGTACTTCTGCATCGTGTCACTGGTAGACTGGCTTTAAAATCCCACTTATTTTCAACGGCCTATCAGGAATTTATTTCTTTAAAATTTCTTGACTTCTTTTTCTCCCTGACGTTGGCCAGACTTGTGGCTGTTTTAAACGCAAAACATAAATATCAGATCATTTTAGCATTTAGGAGTATTTTTTTGTGATTGCTTTTTAGATGTGAGCCAAAGTAAAGGTCACATGGTTTAGTCCCATCATAAATTTTGCCTTACAAAAATTAACCATGGTTTTACTACAAATAAAACAAACACACAAAGGAAAATCATTATTACTGTAGTTAAACTAACTGTGGTTAAACCATAAAACTGTGGTTGTACAAATGTAAGTAATGCACCAAATACATTGCTACAACACTTTGACTGTAGTAAAACATCTTTCATTTTCATAATAGGTGA